ATATTTTTTCAATTTTTTTTTTATTTTTTTGAAAAAATACACTTCAGAATGCCCGTGTATTCAATCTCAATGAATGACTAATGCTTTTTATTTTAGTTGCAGCACGAATTTGCAACTCGACTTAGCTGACATAGCGCACTTTTAGTCGCAATTAATAACAGTGTATTTGTTTAAACAACAAAAATATAGATAATTATGTACTAAGCAGCAAATAGAATTCACTTAAGAAGTGGCGTGCAAAGCGAAGTGAAGCTTAAGAACATTAAAACTTTAACGATAAATATTAAATACATACATACATATATTAATGTAGGTAAGCAAGTACATAATATAGATATATTTCATATTGATAAGCCAAGTGTATGCGAGTTTATTAATAATTAATTATTAAAACGTTGATTGCAAACATAAATATATATACCTATGCATACATATATACTACGTAATCATTAGCCTGCAAATCTAATACAAATATATACATATGTATGTATGTTCATATACATATGTAATTAAAAAGCAGATGCAGCAAGTGTAGCTCTGTGTGCGGAGTTAAGCAATTTTCAGTGGATTCTTCAAGTTTCCTACAAAATTTATGATTCTGAAAGGTTTTGCATTGCAAATTGAAAATAATATGGTGAAACTTTTTTCGCTTGAAACTAAGTTCCAACAAACAGCAGTGCCTTTGTGCCCAAGCTGCTTCCACTTCCTTTGTTTACGCCCAAACATAATATAAACATTGTAAAATATGAATACTTCAAAATATTTATTTTTAATTTAAAAATATTTAAAGCTAAACTTTATTCGTATTTTTAAAGTAATAATAATTAGAGAGTTAAAATTTTCAGTGCTAAATATAAAAATAAATATATACGTACATACTACATACATACATACATAAATATACATATATGCAAAATATATGCATGAACTTTTTTAAGTCCAGAATATGAAAGCAATTGTAAAATAGATTGAAACATTAACGCAAAGTGTGAGAAGGAAAATAAAAACAGAAAAAGCCTAGGGAAATATTGTACCGCAGAATAATGAAGCAACAACACACACTCACATACATATATACACATAATGCATTCATACAAAAGTGCATAAATAATATTTATACATTAAAAACGTTACACCCAAAATACACGCTTTATTTATATACAATATATACCATAAAATATATATGTATGTATAAAATATTTAATACATATATACATGTATGTATATATAAGGTAAACTAAGCTGCGTTTCGAGCATGTAAAATTTTGTGTAATTTAACGTTTCAATTTGTGAAAAACAAATGTTAATGGACACACATTTGTTTTTCACATGGGGCTAGACAGCTTGCAACAAATTTAAAATTTCGGATAATTTATTTAAATGAAAGGTTTGTAGATATATAACATATGTTTGTATTTAACAGCAAAAGCATAATGTATAATTCATTAATAAATTAAAAAGAAAAAATTGAATAAAAATTAAAAAAAAAAATTAAATATAAATAAAATATTGAAAAAATATATATATGTACATATATATAAAACTAAAAAACTCAAAAAAAAAAAAAACTACAAAACCATGTAAAAAATACAAAAAATTTAAAAATGTAGAAAAGCAAATAAAAATTAAGAAAAATTACATACATTTAAAAATACAATATGAACTGCAAAAACGAAAGCGAAAGCAAAAAAACAAAAAAAGCAAAAAACGTGAATTGAAAACTAAAGCTAAAATTTAAACGTTTATCGAAGTGAATTTTCTAAGTGCGAATGCTCGTGTTAACATGTGAAAGGGTCTGTGTGCATGTGGAATACTCTGCAAAAGTGTTATTTATGAATCTGAAAAAATCTGCATGCGTGCGTGTGCAAGTGTGTTAGTCTTGCGGTATGAATGCAGTCAGTTAAAAGTCAAAAGCTAAGGTAAACAATAAATAATTATTGTATTTAATTAATTAATTAATAAATAAAAGAAAAAACAAAAAAAATATCTTTTTATTTCACACTGATGTTAAATAAATTGCAAAAAAAAAGCCTGAAGTTTACATATAATAATACATAGCTCTAACATGCTTTCGTGTGCTTAAAAGTGATAAAGTTTTTTTTTTAATTCATGAAATTGTTTATAAAAAATTCTTTTCATCTAAATTTTAAGATTGTTTGATTAATAAATTAGGGAAAAAAATTTAAATTATATCAAAACTATGAAGCTTAATTTTGAAAAAGTATAAAAGTTATATTTTTACTTTTAATAATTACTATCTTGAACATTAAATAACGTTATTATTTTTTTGTTTATGTATTGGCGTTTACAACAACAAAAATGAATTTGTGAATTTACATAAAATGTATAAAAGTTATATTTTTGCTTTTAACAATTAACATCTTGAACATTAAACATCATTTTTATTATTTTACACAGATATTAATTAAAAAAAAATTATTTGTAGCATTTTTTTTCTTAAAATTAATCAAAAAAGATATTTTAAAATTAAGCAAAAAAGGTATTTTTGATGCTAATCGCATCCAACAAGTACCACCTAGTCTCAATGAAACGTTCCATAAGGTATAACAGCTAAAGTAGATCTAAAACCTAACGTACCCATTTCGTTTCCTTAAAAACAACTTGAAAATTATTTCTGCCAACAATTTTTGTCACTTCAAATATAAACTGTTAATGTCTTGAAATTTACTTTTAGACCGGAAAATTAACAGTTAATGTTTACTCTTCAGCACTAGTCAAAATACACTTAAGTTGTTATGTCTTGTGGCCAGAACACCGATAATCCATTCTTTAAATTATTAATCTCACTATAAATCATAATCAATTTATTATGTACGTATGTTTGACCAATACATTTTCCACATATAACTATTTAGCTAAATATGTATAAATTAAATTGGCCCTTAAAGGGCGCTGTAAATCAAATTGTGGATGCATTGAGTGATATTATTAAATACATGCGTACAGATTTGAAAATGAGAAGGACAAAGCACGAGATATAATACATAGCGAAACAAAAACAATTATCTATAAATCAAGTAAAATGTGCTGAGAATTATATAAGTATATTAATACGATAATTATAGTGCTATATAAGTGTACCACTAAAGTTTAAAGTTATGAAATATTGTTATTTATTGGATTTATGTATTTGGTGGACAAAAACAAAACAATGTATTTTTTACAACTTACAAACAATTCAACTTACCTACGACTGTGCTTATAACTCTTGATTTCCTTAAACCTTTTTTCATTCATTCGTTTTGCTGTTTCACGCCACTTTTCGCTCAAATAAAAAATTTAAATTGTAAATGTACAATATAATTAAAATAACTCTTACGCATATGGAAATCAAAATTGCTGGCAAATATGATGAGACACGACCATGTAGTCGAATGTCCATGCTAGTTTACTAATAACAAGGATATATGTATTTGCGCTGTTGTATATTTTAGCATTTAATTGCTAGTGAATAAAAATAATTTAAGTAATACAAATAACAATTAAGTGTTTGCTAGTTTTATTAACTAATTATAAATGCCTTAAAACAAAGTCTAACGAAAGCGTCTGCATTTCGTACTCGTAGCTTATAAATAAGTATATATAAGACTTAACCTAACCTAACAAGAACGTATCCACGTATTATTACATGATCTGCGCACGCAACGCCACTCTGCTGGGTATTTCTACGTTGTTGACACGCAGCAATTGTACTAGATTGCGCAGGAAGTCCTGTGATATTTTCAGTTCGTCGTCTGCTTCAAGGCGCTCGTACAGATCTAAAGCTGCTTGATAATTATTCCCCTTCGCGAAGTGTGTTAGCAGCATGTTGTAAATATTTTGTTCATCAATAACTCGTCCGAAGCCGCGTGCGCCACGCGCCAAACGCAGTAGCGTGCTCACAGCGCCCTCCTCGCCCAAGTACTCGCAGTTCTTCAATAGTAAAGTTTCGTTGATGCGGAACTCTGGATTGATGAGCAGTCGCCGCAACTGATTATCCGTGCCGGACTCGGCAAAGGCCAGCAGCAGACCACTATTCATGTTCAAGGTGCCATGTACTTTGGAGATGGCGCTGGTCACTTCGCTCAATGCCTGTTGTGCCACTTCGCCGGAAACACCATATTTCGTGACTGCTGGTTCGTGACCGTTACTCAGTCGCACCAGTAGCGAGAGCAATTCGAACTGAAGCGGCGTGTGTTTGTAGAGCTCGGCGAGTTTTTTGAAATCGCTTACGGCGCCCATAATGTCGCCGCGCAACAAACGCTCGCGCACAATCGGGCCCAAGACCGTGTTGTGCGCGTTGCAGTATCTCAATTTCTGCAAAAAGTGGAAGTGTTCGCGTGTTAAGTTGCGCTCCGGTTCAAGCGCAGGCATTTGTGCGGCTAATTGCGCGACGTTTGTAAGAAAATTCCAAACATTCTTAACAACATAGTCGCCGCCATTGACCCGTTGTGTGGTTGCGCGCGTTTCCAGCAATTTCTTCGCTTTCTCCAGCTGATTGTGGTGTACAAGCAGTGCGGCAAAGTCGATGAACTTGTGTTCGTCCAGCGAAAAGCCTGCGGGATGGTAAAGAAAAAATTAGTAAAAACGTGAAGAAGAATTTGCCTCTTTTTTACTTACTTGGGAACTCTTCCTCTAGTCTCTGTAAACACTTTTCGGCATTGGGCAGATCATTGATTTTGATGTAAAGATCCAGCGTGCTAGCTAACATACCAGCGCTGACCTGTACTTGCAGTTGATCACACTTGGCTTTGATCTCTAGTGCGCGTTCCAAACGTCCATCGCGAACACAAAGTTGCAATAGTCGGCGAAGCAGCCCACGCGTGTTCATGCCTTTACCTTCTAATTCGATTAGATGGCATTCTAACTCTTCGAGCGTCATGTCACGTGGATGCTTCACGAAAGTCGAGCTCGCGTTGCTGCCAGCAATGCTAGCGGTTTGCAGCAGCGTCACATTTTGGTCGGTAATTTTTCGCAACGCTTCTTTCAGCTTAGCCAGGCTCTCGTCCTTATTCATTTGCTCCTCAAGCGTTGTTATTATGGTGTTGGCGGCTGCGGGCGATATTGCCAGTCCGAATTTGGCAATTTCATCAACGAAGCGTTGTAGCGCTTTGAGATCGCTTCGTAGACGCAATTGTCCTTGTACCATGCTTAAGAGCAACAGCCCGATCCAGTCAACTTTGGGATTTTCGTTCTTTTTTGATAAAACAGCCAGCAATTTAGCAAATTGCTGATAGCGCTTGGTGGCACGCACATTGACAGTTGCATTGCTTAGCGTTGGCACCAACTGCTCAACTTTTATTTTGGTTGGGTACAACTCAAGTAAATCATGCGCCGCATCAAATCGCTGGCGTAACAATAGATACATGACTATTTCAATTAACACCAGGGAAGGTTTGGCGCCTGCTTCATCAAGCGCCTTTATTGCTTTTTCGGGTTGCTGTAGTGTTATTGGTAAATTGGGTAGAACATACAGCGCGATGGTCTCCCGATCGCACGTTACATTTAGAGAGTTCATTTGCTTTAATACGCTTAGGAGACCGGCTTCGCCCGATTGTTCATGACTTTGCAATAGTAATGGATAAAAATAGTGTGGGCGCAGTGGTTCCTGCTGAGCAAGTGACTGCAAGAATGGCATGGCCGATTTGGCGTTGCGTCGCAGAGCTATTTCAGTGGCAAGGTGCAGTGCACGTGTATTCTTGTCGCTATCCTGGAGTTTTTTAGCTATCCCTATGATTTCTGTGGCGTTGTATTTAGTGCGGAAGAGTTCTTGCAATAGAAAGACGCCAAAGGTGTCGATACTTTGGTTTTCGTTGAAGTGCGGTGTAGGCAAATTGAAGATAATGGCTTCCACTGTCGTTAGATTTCTGGAAATTTTGAAAAAAATTATTTTCGTATCATTAAAGTATCTAATAAGGAAATTACCCGCTATGTAGAAGTTCCACACATAAGTGACGTAGTGGCATCGGTACTTCTGTGCCTGCGGTAAAATCTTTGGGCAATTCATGTACCAGCTGCTTTATAAGTTCCTCATTTTGCGGCGCTTGAATATGTAGAAGACTCCTTAGCATACGCACTACTTGTGCCGCGTTGAATTGTCCATGAAATCGACTCAACACTTCCGATGCTTTTGCGGTGGCGTCATTTTCCAAGTATGCCGACACCATTAAGGAGTGAGTTTCTGCGCTGGGCGTGATACCAGCAGCATTCATGTTGTCGAGCACCGAGCGGCATCCAGCCAGATCATGATTTCGTGAGTGGCCCCATAACAGCGAATTAAAGTGACGCTCAGTTAGCGGAAAGTCATGTGTACGCATTTCCGCAAGCAGCGCTGTTGCTTGATGCATATCCCCTGCTCCACAAGCCGTATCCAATAGTTCTGCATAAATATCGGACAGCGCGTATTCATTATTTACATTTAATTTGTTAAATTCTTGGAGCAATTTTTTGAAATCATCGCATGGCGTACGATTGTGCTGCAGGACATGCAGCCAAGTTATATAATGAGATCCGTTTAACTGGTCATGTTGTGACAAGTAAGACCACAATCGCTGAAAAAGCTCCAAACGGGTGCTACTTGGATAAGCTGGCATTTCGGTACCGGAAGCACGAAGTAGGAAATGTGCCTGCTCATCACCAAGAAGTTGATTGTAAACATTTGGGTTCTTTTCCAATTGCGTGATGATTTTGTCGCATAGCTCGAAGTTAAGTTGACCTGTGTTTTGGTGTACTGCCATTATTTTCTCCAATAACACTGTGACTATTGGCGTTTTCGGCGTTGTTGTTGTTCGAGCTGCAGTAGAATATCCACTGTAAATTGGATTTTGCAGACTATCCCATTGAAAGCATAGCGCATTATTTCTTAAAAGAACTGATTGTTTCAACAGTTTTTGGGTTGCTTCTGTTGCATAACCTGTTTTAGCCAAAATTGGATGAAACCCGAAGCGTTTACTGATATTACTCAATCCCTGCAATTTGCTGGTTACATTTAACAATCGTACACTCATTTTAATTAATGTTTATTTCAAATTGCATAAAGCTTAGAACAGTAAAGGAAAAAAAGAACCGATTGACGAACTGCAAGCACGCGTTGTTGTTCTGTTGTTGGTGAAGAGCGGTTGTCAAAATCAGCTGATGAAATATTCCGATGATAAGAAGTTTGGGCCTGTGTTCAGTGCTGTGGTTTAAAGTGAATTTCAATTTTTATTAAAAACTTGTGATATTTACGTTAAAAAAAGGGTATGTGAGACTTAATTTGCTAATACATAATATGATATATATAAATATAATTATTTAAGGGTTGTAGAATTAGAAATTAAGGCGTCTATAAAGCCAATATTATTACTACTTCTGTCCACTCTAATATTCGACCTTGCCATCAGCTGTTATGTAGGCTATTGAATGGTGACTGCTGGTAAATTGCGTACTGATAACTGATAACTAAACCTGATTAGTAATTTAATGAATAAGTGTGTTCTACTTGGTCGCTTAAAATGTGGCGTTCTCTATTCGTATCCAGCTGTGTGGTTTTATTATCCTTGGCGGCGAGCAGCGATATAGTAGAATACGTTTCCAATAACTGCGATAAACATCAATATATATTCCACTTGACTGATATTCTTTCCACCGGTCAAAAATGTCCACAATCAATAGCTAAAATGCCAAACACTATTTATTTGCTTTACGACGTAAACCCGCCGGAAGGTTTTAATTTGCGTCGTGATGTCTACATACGTTTAGCGGTATTCGTGCGCCAGTTAGCTAGTCGCAAACCTTTCCAAAATTTGCGTTTAGTGCTGCCACCTTGGCGACGGCTTACTCACTGGAAATCTAGTCATTTGCAACAACATAGCCTGCCCTGGGAACATTTTTTTGATATCGAAAGTATGCGACGCTATGCACCTGTGCTCGACTTTCCCGAATTTTTGATAGAGATCGCCCAGTTCGGCTTACAAGTGCCACCTTACGTACAGGTACAACAAGTGTTCCAACTAATGAACTTCGAATACATGTTCGAACAGGATGTTTTCCATGAGAAGTTTGAATTCGAGAGCGATTGCCGAAAGGAACAGCACCTGCAAGGCTATCTCCTACAGCAGCCAATGCTGCTTGATATCGATTTTGTCTGCGTGCGCTATCAAGGGAGCGTGAATTTACTCGAACGTTTACTTCGTCAACAATTGAAAAACAGCGTAGGACAGGCCGCAAACGATGTCAAAGTGTACGCCATACTCAACGCAGAAATTGTGCTGCATGATCAGTGGGGCGATAAGGAGTTTTGGCGCGCTCGCCGTTCAATGCGCTTCGCTGAACCACTACAAGAAATAGCTGAAGAGTATCGGGCACGTGTCCTAAATTCACATAAAGCCGATGAGCTCGTGCAGAGACCACCGATGTGGGAGTCCGAACGCGCTTACCGTGAAGCAGTGGGCGGCGACTATTTGGCAGTGCACTTTCGACGTGGTGACTTTGTACATTGGCGGCAAAGAAGCACGCCCACATTAAAGTCGACCGCCACACAAATACGCGAACAACTGCATTTACTCAATCTAACCACTGTGTACATAGCCACCGATACCACCGCCATGGAGTTGACCAATTTGAAAGCGTATTTGCAGCGTATACGCGTGCGCCGCTTCATACCGGAATCGCTGACGCAAAAAGCACTCATTAAGGATGGTGGCCACGCAATAATAGACCAAATAATATGTGCACACGCACGACACTTCATCGGCACATTTGAAAGCACATTCAGTTATCGCATATATGAGGAGCGAGAAATACTGGGATTTCCTAGACATAGCACCTTTAACACGCTCTGCAAGTATTCAACGCTTGAGGATTGCGAAAAGAATTCGGTTTGGCCGATCGTCTACTAACAAAATGCATTGAGGTACAACTTTAACCAAGCTCTTGTACCTCATTTGAAGGCATTTAATTTGTAGTTGAAAGCGAATTTTGCACTTCGCCGCTCTAGTGGCTGACTGGTTATTTACTTAAGCATATTAAAGTGACATGTGAACGAGATTTAAGTTCACTAACGCTATGGATTTTTTACACTATTTTTTATAACTTTACAATCGTTTCGACGCGCTTTGTTTGAGTTTCATAATACTCAGTAATTAAAGAAAAATACTATATGATCATTCAATTATAATTAAACGCAATGTTTTCGAATTCTCTATTTTTTCTGAGGTAAATTTTATTACTTGTTATGTGGTTTCAATCTCGAAATTTCAAAAATCTTTGTTAGCTGTAATTTGCTTATAACTACAAGTGTAGGAAATACTACTTACAAACATTTAATAATTTGAATAATTAAAAAATTTAAATTTTCTCTGATCATTAACATTTGTATGTATGTATGCATTTCAAAAATGGTTAATATTTATGGTTTACGCTTTTATAAACATTATTAACTAACAGTTGATTATTTTCTTGGTTTTATTGGTATTTATTGATTTAACTTGTATAATATCTTGATAATGTTTATAATTTGTTTATTTATGCTAATTGTAGTTGTCAACAAACTGTATCCTCATTGTATAACACTTGTTTAATTTCTCAAAAACTTGAACTACTTGTAAATAAGAACCAAAATTTTGCTAGTAATAACTTCTAGTAGGTTGCTTACACCACCACTTTCTCATTTATATTTGCTAATATTAGTCTGTCCGTATGTGTATATTTTTATATGTAATTCTCAACGTTTTTATAAATGTTATATAAGGTAAAAAGCAAAAATTGCTTGCTTTACACTACAAACGCTTATAAAAACAACGATTTATTTTAAACATTTTATGTTAACAACGCTTACCAAAAATGAGTGTAACGTGTCACAGCAAATCTTATTTAATGTGAACATTATTACTATTATTATTTGCTTTAAGTTATCACTTTAAACATATTTACATTTATTACAATTTATTTTATTAATCATATGTAATATATACTAATATATAAGTATTTGACTTTGGTTAGATAAATATTCATTTCTACTTTTTAACAGTGTTGTCGTTACATAACTGTATACCAATGTTTTTGGAATTTACTAAAAAAAAAATAACCTCCCACAGAGTTTTAAAAATGAAATGAGTGTTTCGTATTTTTTACGAAAATTGCATATAATTTTTATGGAGTCAAATTTTTATACATCTCTCAAGTTTTAGTAATTTCTGATCTTCTCGTTTTTAACTTTCTTTATGCATGTGTTAAACAGTGGACCACTAATTATTTGTTGTATAGAATACTTTATAACTGTAAAAAAAAATTAAAAAAATATTTATAAAAAAAATATGTACCAACCGTGTTTAGAAATGTTTTTTTAATCGAAAATAGTTTTTGTTTTAATTGAATCTTCATTGAAACTATATTTTGAAAACTTAAATAACAATTATTTTGAATTTGAAATGTATAGTATGATTATAAATAACTTGAAATTAAAAAAAATGGCATTTCTTTTCTAAATAATTAATATTAAGATTATATTATTTCTTTTTAAAAAATATTGCTAATTTAAGTATTTTCGTTTCAGTGATATTCTAATATTTAACAAATTCAATAGTTGCATGTAAATTATGAAAAAAAAATTGTGTGAATTTTATTTGTTTTCGTAAACACACAAACTTAATCAACCAAATTTTTCAGTTTATAGTTCACAAAATTAATTTTAAACGCAGATATACGATTTCATAACTTTATTTAAAGAGTTAAACATCTTTTTTGTCAACTTAATTATTAAAATCTTAAAAAAAATTAAACTTAAAAATTATCCCTGATAAATCGTTTTAAATTCCATAAATTGCACATTCAACTTATATAACAAAATTAAAAAAAAAAATTTATGCTTTGCATAATTCATCACAAACATTTATACATATGTATGCATGTATATTTTGCTTATAACATTTTAATTTTTCCTTAAATTTATGCAACAAGTGATTTTATACGCCTAACTTTAGCATATATATTATATATCTGTGAGAGTTTTAGAGTTAGAGTAAACGAAAGCGTCAGTAACGCAGATTTTTGCACTAATTAGAGGAAGCGCATATAATATGTATTAGAGAAGCACATAGTAACTAGAGCTTTAAATTCTATTACGCATTTCAAGTCGATAGTTGTGTGAGTATGTAATTTGTTTTTATAATTTTAGTTATATTATTACAAACAGTAAACTTTGTTAACAATAATAGTGAAATAGTAAAATTTTTAAACTCGTACGGAGAAATATGTAGTGAGTGGTGTGTCAGTAAAGTAATTAATAAATTTGTATACACAAATGTATATAAAAACTCGTTTAGCACTGCAGAAGTTTTGGCCTGACAGTTGTACATTTGTAGCATCACTTCGATACAGTTATTTAAGTAAAAAAAAAAAATAACAAATGACTAAAATTCTAATCGACATAGTCTCGTATGATTAACTCGCGTTTAGTGAACGTATTCGTGTTGCTTGTGTGTGTTGGTATATTGAGGGCGGCGAAAATGCTGTTGCCAGTGCCACCAGGGCTACTGCTGGCGCTGCCACCACCACCGCTACAATTGCTATTATTGCTATTTAAACTGTTTAAGGTTATATTGAAATTGTTATTGAAATTGCGCGTGTGCAGATTAGCCCTTTCGTTCGCTACATGGTCGCGCTGCAATTTCGTTAATTCATTTTGTAAACGCTGATTACTCAGACGAAGGTTCTCATTCTCGCTAAGGCACTCACGCAGACTGAGAAAGATAAAATTCAAATAAACTATTTCTACAACTTTACGTCAAATACTGCTTACCTCTTTATCTCGTCCTGCATGGTTTTGATATACTCGCAAGCTTTGATTAGTATTTGTGACTTGGAATCATTGGGCGGCGTTCGATTGCTGCTGTTGCTGTTGTTATTGCTAGGATTAGTGTTGGTATTGGTTTTTGCTGTCAACTGTTCCACCATTCCAATTTGTTGATTATTGTTATTATTATTGTTAACGCCATCGGTCGGCAGCATTTCTTTCAGTTTAAAAATCCAATTGTTTATTTTATCGCGTCGCCGTCGTTCTACTTCGTTATGAGTTGCACGTCGCTTATCATCGCGCTATATTATTATTATATTATTAGCGGCAAAGAAAATATAAGATTTTAAAAACAGAAACCATACATATATTTATACACGCCTACCTTTTTATACGCCTCTAATATGCAACTGCGCTTTGTACTATTGCCCTGTGTATCTGGAACGCTAATGCTTGATATCGCTGTGGTATTTCTATTTGCATTTGTCCGCCCATCGGTAGTGACATTGGCCGAATTATTAGCGCTTGTAAGGTGCACGTCATTGATGGTGGTTGTGGAAGTAGCAGTACTAGCACATGCTGTGGACGTCACACAAGAGTCCGGCTCTAATTTAATTGTTTCTGTTGTGTCGGTCGTTGGCGGACTTGTCGGTCCTTGCAATAACTCACTTTCATCTGGAAGAATGGTCGGCACATTGTCTAAATACTCCTTGACTATATAAATTTCGCAACCGTTTGGTAGATGCATTGGCAGCGCAGCATTAAAAGTAGTAGTTGCACTATTATTAATGATGTTGCTGTTGTTAATATTATCGATATTGTGTGGTTGACGTTGTATTTGATTGACAAGGCGATATTGCAATGGCAAGGTTTGTGTGGCCTGTGTGCTACTGCTGCATAAAGTGTCAGTATGTTCTTGTTTAATCGGTGTCAGAGTGCTGCCAATGGCCAGATATTCCTGCGATTCATCGGAGTTTTCATCACAGATTGTAAGAAATACGTTTGTGGGTAACATACTAACCGAACTAGTACTATTGACACTTGCGTTCGAAGAATTGCCCAAAAAGATACTACAAGTATGCGTGAAATGAATTACGTAAATTATGTGTAGCGATACTTACTTTGGCGTACCACCAATGCTGGACGCTATATCAGTTGCATTCACAGAACAGCTATTAATGGTCCCAGCATCAATAGTTGCCGGTGCCAAAGATAACTCCAGTCGTGCTCGCTTATTTCTGTTATTCATAGTGGTGTTCACTTCATAATACCTTTGGTATCACTGTAATTCTATGGTTCCGTCTGACGTCCAAAATGACCATCAATACAAAATTATCTTTTCGCTTTTTATTTACACTGTGGGAAAATGTTATATGCATCGGATTACTTAAATTGTTTGTAATTATTGTTTACATATTGCGAAAAAACCACAAAAATTACATTCGTAAATAAACATTTTCCAATAACTTATCTTGCGTTTTGACTTTTTCGTTATGAAAACAATGAAGAAATGTCAAATGAAAATAAATCCTATTGTAAATGCTGCCGGAAATATAAAATTAGATCAACAATAAAAACAAAAATTTTAATGACCAAAAATATTGTGATCAGAAAGACTATTTAAAATAATCAATATGTAATAAAGTAAATGTTAATTAAACGTGTTTGTTATTTTAGATATTTTGTCATAAAACATAAGACTTTCTTCAGAGGCATTGCCGAGTGAAAATTATGTATGTTTGAAAACCACTGAAGTATATTCTTGTGACATTTGTCAATGAAGACTATAGGAAATAAAATAAATTGCCATTATTAACTATTTTAGAAATGTATGAACCAGATAAAGAATTCACACCTGTGTCCAGCGATAAAACACTTGCGGCATTCATCGATGAGAGCAAATCCCGACTAAGAAAAATTTTTAAACGTCTTGAATGGGATTTTGAACCGGTGAGTTGGAGTATGCATGTGCATACCTTCTAATCTATATAAAGCCAAAAAGAGCGCTCAAAGCATTTGCATACTTAAATTTTATATTTTTATTTAGGATAATGGCAGGGATACTGCTTTGAGGAATCAAACACAAAACGACTTACAACTGGAAATTGACTTCGAACCGCACTTTCCTCCAAGCTGTGCTTCTGACAATTTCAAAATTACCGGTATATACTTTTATTTATTGTCCAACCCCTTGTCCTTTGCTCATATATATGTATATGTTTCAATAGACGTTGAGGAGTTGCGGAAAGTTTTGGGCGTTCCTGATAAAGATGTTCCTAACAAGTTTTCGGACTTGCAGTTAAATTTTTCACGGACGCAAAAACTATCTCTATACGAACATGTTATAGCAAACACCAAGAAATATACAGAGCCAGAAATATCGGTGCAGTAAGTACATGTAAATTTTCAAGAAATTAAGTCACAATTTTAATAAAAATAAACCATTTATTATAAGATCCCTAGGTGGGGGTTCTTTCACATTCGCTGAAATTGTGGCACAAAAGAAGCGAGAGACCAAAAAACGTCGTCGGTATCGGCGAAGTAAGCCAACACATATTGAAGAAGTTCGCGCTGTTGTAGATCTGCAAATGCAATCTTTACAGCAATATCTCAAAGATAAGAAGTCGGAGGAGCGTATGAACCAGTTGATTATAAATGAAAAATATAAAACGAGAAGTGATAGAGATGGTAAATCCATAAGCGAAAGCAGTGGTAGAATTCACACACCCGTAATAATTCGCAATAAACACCGAAGCAGAAGTAGAAGCAAAAGTTATGAACGCAAAAGTCATAAGAAAAATAGATATAGAAGCCGTAGTAGGAGCAATCATCACAAGAGCAAGAAATCTCGAAGAGATCTTAGCAGCAGTAAAAGCAGAAAACATCGGAACAGAAGCAGAAGCAAGAGTGAAAGAAAAATTTATAAACGGCACAGTAGAAGTCGCAGCCCGCTCCACAGAAGCAATACAAATAGAAATAAACACCATTACCGCCAAAGGGAATAGTATGGAAATTATAAGGTATGAAAAATTTATAATTTTTATATGTGAATTAAAACTAAATTGACTGTTGAGTTAAAGGTTTGCTGTATTTTTCATTATGTGCCATAGTAATCCTTTAATGATATTTAATTATTCTCCCTTAAGTGCTCATTTTGTCGATGTGCGAGTACGCCTATTCCAGTGGAAATTCAAGCCATAATTTTTAACACGTTCTACTTTTGGTTTTTCCTCAGCATCAATAAACCAACGCCAACCATTGCGTTCACAGTGCTCAATTGCTTCTTCCTTAGAACCAAATGTTACTTCCATATTCGATAATGGATCGCCGCTATAACAATTATGAATATTTATATGAATTTTTCTAGAATGTATGTAAGTAATTTTACGTACGTTGAGGTCCAACCCATTAATGGATTTTCCCATCGTTCGCGGTTGTCGAACTCAATCACCCAATGGTTCAAATTATCAGTACCACTTTGCATAGCATTTTTGGGTGGCAAGTGAATGCATACACGACGTGTTTTCACATGTTCCTCTGGCACTCCACTTATAGGGCTAAGATCAACTTTTGTGGGCACTGTGATAGCTCCGCTAAGTTTCCGTTTCCTCTCCAATTCCTCAGGTTGTGCAATTACTTGAGACACATCGATTGGTGGGGCATCGCGTGAACCCACGGACGACATACAGCGACTACCGTTGCTGATTGTTTTTGCCCTGTAAGCGACTTGGCTGTTGCACTGAATTTTTACTTTTGAAATATTTACGTACCAGTGAACTCCCTGAGGAGTTTTAGCTAGAATTTGACGCACAAAGGACATATTTAATGTGGCAAATTAATAAGATTTCTATTATTACATAAAATTTTCCTTTACTACTGCGAAAATTTGACAACTACTGAAGTTAACGTCAAAAAAATTGTATTATTGTTCTGAAATGACATTTATACACATAACTGTCAAATGCTCGTTGTTTATTCGTTTGTTGTCTTTTTGTATACATGAATTTAGTTTCTCTGAATAGCGATATTATTTATTTAACCGATTTGGACATATAAAAATGGATGCCGTTGTGTTGGATAATGGTGCATACACTGCCAAAATAGGTTTATCAACGCAAGATGATCCGTCTGTAGTGCCCAACTGTATTATGAAGGCAAAAGCGGAACGAAGGCGTGCATTTATAGGTAGCCAAATTGACGAATGCCGGGATGCTTCCGGACTATTTTTTATACTGTGTTTTCAAAAGGGGTATCTTCTAAATTGGGATATTCAGAAGACCGTTTGGGATCACATTTTTAGCAATGAAGGAACCGGTATTTCTTTGGAAGATCGTCCTATAGTAATAACTGAACCACAACTAAATTTCCCCAGTATACAAGAAGCTATGATGGAAATACTCTTCGAGGAATATCACTGCTCCGGAGTGCACAAATGTACAACCGCTGAGTTGGCAGCATATAATTACGCCGCGGAAAGCGAAGAAAGCCCTTTACAAGCTCTGAATTGTGTTGTTATAGACGTTGGGTATAGTTTCACTCATGTAGTTCCATTTGTGCGAGGACGTCGCATGGAACATGGCATACGGCGTATCGAAGTTGGCGGCAAAGTGTTGACGAATCATTTAAAAGAACTTATTTCTTATCGACATTTAAATATGATGGACGAGTCTTATGTTGTTAATCAGATAAAAGAAGACGTATGTTTTGTATCACAAGACTTAAAGAATGACATGCGTGTGCACACATCTGCCGAAAAGCAAGCAGAAGTAGTAGTAGAATATGTACTGCCGGATTTTACGACAGTTAAACGTGGCTTTATACGCAATAAAGGAAACAGAGAGAAAGAATCTGAAAAAGAAGATGAAGATAGGAATGAGGAAAACGATCAGCAGTCGGTACGACTTTGCAACGAACGTTTCACTGTGCCCGAACTGCTTTTTAATCCCAGCGATGTGGGAATACAACAAGTTGGCATTCCGGAAGCTGTAATTGACTGCCTCAAAGATTGTCCCGTTTATTCACACAGCGAGTTACTACGAAATATATTAATAATCGGTGGAAGTTCACTTTTTCAGGGCTTTATACCGCGTTTAAAAGCCGAAATTCGCGCGCTGGCACCTGATGATTTAGAAGTTTCATTGATTTTCCCTGATGATCCCATTTCTTATGGTTGGTATGGTGGCAAAGAATTGGCCGGTAGTGATGGTTTTAAAGACATGTTGCTTACCAGAGAGAAGTATGAAGAGAATGGCTATTCAGCTTGCAATGGGAAATAAATAATTAGAAAATATAAAATGGTTGTTTTCCTTTGTTTTATATAAAGTACAAAATAGATTTTCTGCAGGAAGTTTTAGAACATATTTATTTTCAATTGTTTATACAGCTAACATGTCTAAATATCTTTATATGTTTCAAAATATTTGAAAACAAAACATAATCATAACTAGTACTTAACCGAAAAATTTAAACTAATTTAAAGCAGACAATATACGAGTTCCTAAGTAATGAAATCTAAACTGCTAGCTTAAATTTTAACGACCGTCGAGTAATTAGAAGCTAAATGATTCGCCACATCCGCACGTTCCTTTTATGTTAGGATTGTTAAAAACGAACTCGCTGGATAGTTGGGACTCGACAAAATCCATTTCGGTGCCTGAAATAAGAGTTTGTTGAACCCAAGTCGTACCATAAATATGCATCGCAAAAGATAAGAAAATGTAAACAAGTAACGCGTTATGTAAGTGATATTGTGTAAAAAGAAAATTCTTACCCAGTAGAGACAATTGAGCCTTCTTATCAATATACACTTTGACACCATCTTGTACAACTTCTTCGTCGAATTTATCTGCAGTAACCATATATAAAATTTTTGTTATGTGTTTTATTGATGAAAACATTTACCTTTTCCTTTTGCATAGTCCAGCGTGTAGGAAAGCCCATTGCATCCACGCTGCCGCACTCCTACCTTCAAACCTGTCTATAATTACCAGCAATAAATACTATCTTGTCAAATAATTTATATAAGGCATACACTTACAAACTCGGGTTTATCCTTCAATAATTCTTTAATGCGATTTACTGCGGAATTTGTCTATAAATAGTTGTTTTGCAAGAAATATATTGTTTGTTGAACACATATATGGGAAAGTTTCATGACTAAATTTATGAGCTTACCAATATAAGAGCTGCCCTTGTCGGCAACAATTTGCGTCCTTTCAGTGCACGCACTGTCGCCGTAGCCACCACTTTTGTTGACATCTTTTGTACGCGTTAATATTTCACTTTAAATTATACGATTGTTTGATGTGAATTTTATTCATAACAGCAGATTTTCTTATTTACTCCTCTTTTATCAACAATTCGTTTCATAACGATTGTAATCGAGTGACAGAGAACAGCTGTTTTAAAGATGCGTTGCCAAGTTAATTCTTTAAATGTTGAGCAATTGGTAACGCTGAGCTGCATTGAAATGCAAACATGTGTATTTTGACATTTGAGCGGGCGATTGACAGTAACATAAAATTTGTAGTGGGTTGGTGTTTTTGCGTTTAGTTGCAAATTGATAAATTTATGTGAACTCATATTTCCAATTGGACTGAATTGTAATCGTATACGAATCCCTATAGTGCTTAATTGCAATCGAGTCAACGGTATTCAAATTATTGTGTGGAATTTGATTCTGCGTCCCTCATCTCGGCTCTCGTAGTTATCACAGGGTCTGTGATCGTAGAGGATTGTGTCGACTTTCGATTTCGGTTTGCTGTTTTATATTTGCATATCTCATACATACTAATTATCGCAAACGCCAGAAATATGGCTTTGGAGAAATAGCTGCGGCATTGTGGCGCTCAATAACACAAAACACGCGCGCATACACATATATACACGCACACACGGGCGAATTGTGGTCAATCGCGCAAATACAAATTGGTGAACTGACGGAAAAGACAATTCTGAGCAAGAACGCTTGGAACGTTGTAGTTGTTGCATTGTGTTTTATTTAAATTGGAATTTATTACACTTTTTTTAACATTTTCTGTCGAACGGATCGGTCGATCGTTTGTTTGCGCTGTGCTCAGCAGTTTTCGTTTTTTTAAGGCGACGGGTGCCGCGTTTTATAATTCTTTTAATACAATTTACTGAAACTAAAAATAAAACTAACAATATAAAAAACACGCAGAATAAACGTGCCGATATTTCATATCTTACAAGGTACCACACCAAGTAGTAGCTGAAACCGCGGTGGCATGAAAGTGGTTAGCGAAAGACCATTTAAAAATTAAAAAAAAAAATTACATACATATTACGTATATATAAAACACACAACTAACTTAGCGAATAAATATAAAGTGAAAACTTAAATCAAATAAGACTCAAATTGATATCAAAGTGAGGTTTTTACAACACAACATGGATTTAGTTGCAGAAAATGAGAATGAGGTGTTATGCGAGAAAATTATTAACGACATACAAGCGGTATTTCTCAAGGACCCAGACCTGTAAGTTCAAAACCATACAAATAAGTATTTCTGTAAATTTAACTAGTAATTTCACGTCAGCCATCTAAAGGAAAATACATACTTTCACGCATAGACGCACATTTGAATTCATTTTCATTAATTAACTATAATACGATTAATGTTTTTGTTGTTGTAATATCATGAACCATACTAGATAAATCCTTAGCTGTATACAATACAATCATATTTTTATTTTGAATATTAAATGTGTTATTTTTTTTATTGAACTGTTAAAGGAGAATAAATTCTGCTAATATTTAATAATGCACATAATAATTTATTTAAATAATTCAATAAATATTAAAAAAATATTTCAATATTTCAATAATTCAATAATAATATTCAAATTAATTTTAGTTATATAAAATCAGTACTTATCATATTTTTTATGCATGGACATACATACATACTATACATTTATATTCTTTATATGTACATATTATAGATATATTTTCATATCCAATTAACTGTAACAACACATCTGTAACAATTTTCATACATTATTCCCGCTTCATTGATATGAGCTATGCGAGTTAATTGATTTGATTGTGCACAAACAGCGTTCATATAGATGATAACCGCGGTCCCCAGGCCACAGCGCACAGCTCATACCCCGCATCTCGCACTTTTGTGAATTAAGCATAGAGATATGATACAACAAGTTCACTTAATGCCGGCGCACGTATGAATTCTTGTGGTTGTTGGTTATCATTACAATTTATTTGTATTCGCAGTGAGCGACAAATGTTTGACCTTGTCATTTAATTGAGTTGGAGCTGGCTTGTGTTGGGCTCGTTAGAAATCATTTTCATATAATACGTTCATATGTTTGTGATGTTATATAAGTGCAATTGTTTATGTTTTCGTTATTTGCTTTTTTGTGTTTTTGGTGTTTGATTTTATTGTTTTTGAGCCTCTAAATAATTATTCGATTCACACATGTAAGTACATATATAATGTCATACACACATATTCATCTTTACATACAAACAAACATACATTGCATCAATCAAGTCAAGTATTTGCACGTTTAACCGAAATTTTCAAATATTTTAGCTCAACATTTGAAATCATACCGACCATTTTGAATTGCAATAAAACGCCTGTAGTGCATGCCGAACATCATCTGGGCCTGGAGTCGTGGTGTGTGAAACATGTATACGATCATGCGCACAAGGCTATAATTGGATATCGGCGCCAACATCAATCACGCTATTTGCAACACAGTGATGTGCTGCTGAAGTATCTGAATGTGGCACTGCTAATTAATACGGATGTGGCCACATTCTGGAATATACGCCGCCAAATGGTGCAGACGAATCACTTGAAAATAAATTGCGAATTTAAATTCTCCGCGCTTATATTGTCGAAGAAGCCCAAATCTAGCGAAGCCTTCGCATATCGACGCTGGTTGTATTCGTTTCAGAGTGAGTACGCAAATAATTAAAGATTTAGCACAATTAAAGAAGGCTCCGAAAACTATGTGTGTGTGCTCCCAGAATGTTGGATTTGCCACGAATAGTTTGGAAGTGTCACCTTCTTGCTTTTATAACACACTGTTTTTAAATAATAATCTCTCAAATGACAGGTCACGATGCTATCGACTGGCCCAGTGAGTTTGGCATTTGCGACCGTTGTGCCGATCGCAGCTCAAATAATTACCACGCGTGGACGCATCGCCAGTGGGTGTTACAGAATGCGCCCGATCTGATACGCTCCGAATTGATGATTACGGAAAAGTTCATGCGTAAACACATCAGCGACTACAGCAGCTATCATTATCGCCAAGCGCTGATTGAGCGCGCCTACGAATTGTGCTACTACGAATCAAATGAGCTCGAACATTTACATAATTTGAAAGATTTGATCAGCTATTATCTGGAAGATGATTTGGAAATACTTAGCACAGCCGATGTGATGCAAATATTGTTGCCCGGTGTCGATCGGGCAGCTGTGGGCGAACCACGGCTCAGCTCCTTTCTCTATTGTTGCAACTTGGCTGCGCATGATATACGTCTGTGTGACGATCAGAAGAATATGTATGGCGAGCGCGAATCTTTTGAGAATCATAGACGCTCTTCGTTGCGTTTCATTGTGGAGAATTGTGTACGTTTGTTGTTGGGCGAATTGCCCGGTCTGTATTTGACGCCGCGCACGTATGGGCAACTGCAGGAGTTCAATGCAGCGCTGAAGAAGTTCGATTATGCCACCAATGCATTTTTGTCGGCGCTTAAGCGTTCGGAGGGCCTGCTGGGCAACAGCCATCGCAAATGGTGTACAATTTTTTTGGGCTTTAATTATGCGTAGAGTGTGCCTGCGCACTGTTTGCTGCTGATTTTAGTGAACTCATTTTCGAGTTTTAGTAGCGAAAACAAGCACAGCAAAGAAACGTTATCTTTCTATATTCAAGGCAAGAAAATAAAAATTTGCTGAACGTTTAGTACATGCCACTTCAAAGGCTTTTTATGTTTTAAATTGGCAGGCAACATGAAACAATGAATAAAGTTATACATTTAATATCGTCGAATAAAAATCATATGTATGTGTCCCCGACTATTGTCAGCTGAGCCTAAATTCATGGCTCTGTATTGTGCGCCAAAAATTTTAAGTATAATTAGGTTTTCTTTAAAACTGTTGAAGGTAACCAGTTTTTGGTGTCAAAAAAAAAAAATATGATAAAATTTTAAAAAGAAAAATGTGTCAAATATAAGTTAATTCATGGTTTTTGTCAGTTTGTCAAACCGTTGTGTTTGTTTAGTGCTCATAAAAGTGTTACTTTCTTACTCGTTATATCCGCTACAGAAAAAACATACATATATATCTCAAGAAATTGCATTTATAATTTAATTTAAATATATAAAAAAACAATATTTTTTACCATCCTTGTAATTAACTTCTATGCTGTCTCCCATACTGTGCATAACACATAACTATAAGTAAAATTATATAATAACTCCCATTTTGCATAAGTAAAAAGATGTAATTTAAAAAATTGAAATTTTTCATTGAGTTGACAAACAAAAATACTTTCACTCCAAATACTCTTGTAATCAAATAAATAAATTTTAAGCGAAGCAGAACTAATATATAGTTAGCATTTAATAGAAAATTATAGCATGAATTTAAAGGAATTTATATTGTAAAGAAAATTTGTAAACAATCAATGTGTATAAAAGACTATTTTGAAAATGATTTGTGTGTTTCATTTGCAATTACGTCACTTTTATGCGGACCTCCTATTCATTTATATTAATTTCATTTCGTGTTATAAAACCTTCTTTCCGGTTTATAACCGTTTTCCAGTTTGTTTGTGTATGATTTTTATACCCTGAACAGGGCACTGTTAAGTTTGCCACGAAATTTATAACAACCAGGAGAAAAAATCAGAGATCAGATAAATGATCAGGTGCGCTGATTTAGGTATGCCTGTCCGTTTGTACTTACGCGATCTAGTCCGTCAGGTTTTGAGATATTTATGTGAAATTTCTCTACTATCTCCGAAGAAATAACACCCAGGAGAAAAAATCAGAGATCAGATAAAGTATATACTAAATGATCAGGTGCGCTGATTTAGGTATGTCTGTCCGTTTGTACTTATGCGATTTAGTCCGTCAGGTTTTGAGATATTTATGTGAAATTTCTCTACTATCTCCGAAGAAATGACTTAGATCGGCTCACTATAGCATATATCTAACATATACATACGTATTATTTCGTAAATATATTCACACACGCATAAATTTCCGCTTTATACTGAACGTAGCAGCTTTTTAGGCGCACATTGTTTTTCATGTCTAAACAAGCATAGAAGTGCAAATGTTGACTAACACCTGTGAAGAAATTCATGCATTGACATATGTCTTTAAATAAATATGATTTCTTATAAATACCTTTAAGCCTTTCTCCTCTCAATGATTTAGAGTGACTTGTAGTGGTCCTTACTAATACATATGTATGTATTTTGGGAACTTTGCGTATTGCTAGTTAAACTACCTGTACCTGCATACACAAATATGTACATTTCCTTATTTCAGTATCATAAAAAACAAAAACATCGTAATTATATTTTCATTTTCTTGTTTTTAATCTTTAATTTTCGTATTTCTAACTAATTTGCTCTCTTTCACTGCATTACCTTATTTTAATATTACAACAACAACACATCGTAATTATATTTTAAATTTAATTTTCGTGTTTAAAATTTTTCTTTTTAATATTTAATTTTTTTAATTCTAATTAATTTGTTGACTCATGTACAACAATAGCAAAAACTACAACACATTTCAGCATTTCCTTATTTCAATATTACAACAACAACAACAACATATCGTAATTATAATTTAAATTTCTTTTTTTAAGTATATTTAATTTAATTTGTATTTCTAATTAATTTGTTTACTCTTGTACTATAACAACAACAACCCCAACAACAACAACAACGTAATTAAATTTATGTTTTGCTAAGCATTTAATTTACGTTGTTTTTCTAATTAAGCTTTAATTTTTAAATTTATTTCGATATTCCACCTGGGCAGTGCGCCAAGAGCCGCTGTTCGCAAAACAAACAAATCTAATATAGGAAGATATTTATTAGAACGTTACCTTTGTATGTATGCATGAATATGTCACATAAATGAGTGTGTTGTGCGCTTGTCCAAATAACAATTGGCAGGTTCGAAGTCCAGTTACGAAAAGGAGTATTTGTAACAGTAACAAAACTCTAACGGCTTTAGACATTCCACTTTATATTTTTATTATTAATTTTTTATCGCCCTGAACTCGCCAACGAACAAATTTATAAGTTAAGCAATTCCTTTTTATGTTGCCTGATACTAACTACATAAGCAGACATGCTGCACACAAAAAGCGTGGCCCAAAAAGTGTCTAGTTGCCAGCGCGATTATGATACAATCTTACTATATATGCATGTACTATAATGAAAACCTATAAATTAGACATTCAATTAGACCTGCGTCTCTGCCGTTGACCCCGTCTCAGCGCTTTTACTTAGCACAAATGGCACGTTTTTCTTGCTTGTGCTTTGATCAATGGGCTGCGGCAGCCAAAATTCCATTAACTACATAGCACTTTATACATATCGTATACATTCACACACACACACACACTACCGTTTGTATAAGCAAATCGTGGCACAACTAGCCATCTGGTGCTAGATTCGAGCGCTCGAGCAAAGACAAGGCAAATGAAGGCAGTCGCTCAGTTGAAAGGTCGCCAACGGATGAGCGCGTACAAACGGCTTGTCAAGCGTGGGAGTGTTAAAAGTTTTCAAATGCAGAGAATTGCTTTAATTAAAAACGAAATTAAAATATAAAATTAATTAAAGTTTTTCTAAAACATAAGAAAAAGTTCATACTTTGCACGGAACTCCGGAGAAGTGCCGCCTGTCGCCTGTCGCCTCCACTTTAATTTAATAAAGCCTACACACTTATTTGCATAAGTGCCTGAACCTAGACGCCTGCACGCACAACAACACTTTCATTTATAGAAATTAGCTGGTCAATTAGACAATTTCCTCATATGAGTACTTTGACTGATTAGACCGCTTGTTGTTGCAGGTGAAAGTGGGCGCGTCATCGCTCAACATGCGGTCGCTCGCTGTGTAACTATTCTATCTGTTGTATCAGCGGCAAAAATAAACTAGAATTCCATTTAATCATTAGCATTAAGTGACAAAAGAATATCGATGAACTGCAAAAAAAAAAAAAAAACAGAAAAAAAAAAACGCGAACCAAAAATAACAACAAAATCCTCATTGTGAATATCGCTAGCAAATGTTTTCTCATTACAAAAAAGCTAGCAAAACAAAAGCGCATTGACAACAAATACCCCAGAAATATTTATAACAAAATACAATAATAGCACGAAAAAGAAAAAAAATCAAACGGGTAAGCCATGGGGTGGCAGTCGATTTAAGAAAGCGAATTTGCAGCGGAAACAAACGCAAGCCGCAAGGTTCACTTAAACGCCGGCATTTTGCTTTTCGCTGTTCACGACTATATTTTTTACTTTTCTTTACAACAAACGAAAATGTGTCCCTCAGTAAGACGGCGCCCACAACCGCGCGTATTTTACAAATTTTCATTGTCAATTTCTGTGGCAGCATAAGCGTACGCTCGACGCTTGGCGTACAAAAAGTGTGAAACGTGTAAAATTTACTGTGTTTGAATTTTAAAATACAGACTAACTGCCTAAGAGTAGCTCTTGTAAGAATTAACGTTAAATTGTCTCGGACTACATTCAAAAAAAAAAAAAAAAAAAAAAAAAAAAAAAATTACACAAAATTACAAGAACATGCAATATCTGTCCGTTAATACGGAGGATTACTTGCGTCCGCTGCGCCCGGGTCATCGGCGCATCAGTCGCTCCATCTCACCCGGTTTGAATACAATGGAATCGTTGGAGGAGTGCGAAAGCAATCACGATTTGAGGAAGACTGCGAGCAGCAAATGTGAGTAATGGACAGTGCCGGGAGAGCGCTAGATATGGACGCCGTGGTAGTAAGCAGCAATGAACATGTTGTGCTGTTGATTACTTAAAACTTAAAAGTTACGAGTTCTTTGTGGTTGTTGCAGCGGAAAAGTTCTGCCGAGTTGACGGTTCCGTTTACGTAGTTCTTTGATTTCTTGTTTCCGATAGTGAGTCCCTAGATTTCCTTAGAATGAAAAAAGTAACTTAGAGTCACTTATAGCCTGTGGTTATGGTTGTAGCGGCAGATAATATTCTTGCAGTAAGTTCGAGGAATTGTGCCTAATTAACAGCCATCCGGGAAAAAAATTCGGGTTCGTTCCGGTTACTTTAATTTGATTCTAATGGTGACGGAAAATGAGAAAATTATATAGCAGTTGTCTCTATATTTCGTTGCTAACGGTATTTGTAGGTTCAAAGCTTATTAATTATCGTCAGACGGAAAGTTTTCTCGGAAATATTTTCAAGTTGCCATTGTTATAATCTTGTTCGGAAGAAATTTAAATTAATGGCGCAGTGAGGCGATAATAGTAATCTACAGCTCATTAAACCCTGATACACTTTTAAATACGACTGAAGATTTTCGTTTATACGAATCATTACTATATATGTACATAAATGAGGCTCCGAATAATTATAAGATCCGATCCGATTTCTTCAACTGTAAATTTTTTCAATTCAAAAGTTTAAATTACTAACTTTTCAACTCATACGCCCACTTAATGATCCATTCGCACTAACCCGCTGACCCATATTTTTTTATAACCTTTAGCGTTGCTTTTGCTCCACAAATTTACTTCGAGCGACTCAAATCTCAGCACCACAGAAAGCACGACAAGTGCTCGGAAGCCATTTTATAAGTCCTCCGAAAATCTATGTTTTCGACGTCCCAAGAATCGTTTACTTCGACAAGAACAAGTGAGTGAAATATATTTACCACGCCCACGTCCGCGTTGTAACACAG